GGCCATGGACCCAAATTTCGATGTTTTGTTCCCCGAGCCACTTAGTTATCACTTTTGCCTTATGGCAAGGTGCTCCATCATGCTGGAAAAGGCATTGGTCGTCACCAAACTGTTCTTGGATGGTTGGGAGAAGTTGCTCTCGGAGGATGTGTTGGTACCATTCTTAGGCAAAATTGTGAGAAAGCCCACTCAATTGGCTGAGAAGCAACCCCACACATGAATGGTCTCAGGATGTTTTACTGTTGGCATGCAACAGGACTGATGGTAGCGCTCACATTTTACATTTTAGTCATTTAGCAGACGCTGTTATCCAGAGCGACTTACAGTTAGTGAGTGCATACAATTATTATTTATTTATTTTTCATACTGGCCCCCCGTGGGAATCGAACACACAACCCTGGCGTTGCAAGCGCCATGCTCTACCAACTGAGCTACACCGGACAAGGTGTTTTCCGGATGCCCCAAACAATCGGAAAGGGGATTCATCAGAGAAAATGACTTTACCCCAGTCCTCAGCAGTCCAATCCCTGTACCTTTTGCAGAATATCAGTCTGTCCCTGATGTTTTTCGTGGAGAGAAGTGGCTTCTTTGCTGCCCTTCTTGACACCAGGCCATCCTCCAAAAGTATTCGCCTCACTGTGCGTACAGATGCACTCACACCTGCCTGCTGCCATTCCTGAGCAAGCTCTGCATTGGTGGTGTCCCGATCCCGCAGCTGACTCAACTTTAGGAGACGGTCCTGGCGCTTGCTGGACTTTCTTGGGCACCCTGATGCCTTCTTCACAACAATTGAACCTCTCTCCTTGAAGTTCTTGATGATCCGATAAATGGTTGATTTTGGTGCAATCTTACTAGATTTCAAGCACCACCCTCTATTTAAAGCTTCCAGTCTGTTATTCTAACTCAATCAGCATGACAGAGTCTCCAGCCTTGTCCTCGTCAACACTCTCACCTGTGTTAACGAGAGAATCACTGACATGATGGCAGCTGGTCCTTTTATGGCAGGGCTGAAATGCAGTGGAAATGTTTTTTGGGGATTAAGATCATTTTCATGGCGAAGAGGGACTTTGCAATTAATTGCAATTCATCTGATCACTCTCATGACATTCTGGAGTATATGCAAATAGCCATCATCAAAACTGAGGCAGCAGACTTTGTGAAAATTAGTATTTGTGTCATTCTCAAAACTTTTGACCACGACTGTACATGTGGATGTATTTCAAGGCCTACCTTCAAACTCAGTGCCTCTTTGCTTGACATCATGGGAAAATCAAAATAAATCAGCCAAGACCTCTGAAAAACAATTGTAGACCTCCACAAGTCTGGTTCATCCTTTGGAGCAATTTCCAAACGCCTGAAGATACCACGTTCATCTGTACAAACAATAGTACGCAAGTATAAACACAATGGGACCACGCAACCGTCATACCCCCAGGAAGGAGACGCATTCTGTCTCCTAGAGATGAACGTACTTTGATGCGAAAAGTGCAAATCAATCCCAGAACAACAGCAAAGGACCTTTTGAAGATGCTGGAGGAAACATGTACCAAAGTATCTATATCCACAGTAAAACGAGTCCTATATCGACATAACCTGAATGGCCGCTCAGCAAGGAAAAAGCCTCTGCTCCAAAACCGCCATAAAAAAGCCAGACTACGGTTTGCAACTGCATATGAGGACAAAGATTGTACTTTTTGGAGAAGTGTCCTCTGGTCTGATGAAACAAAAATAGAACTGTTTGGCTATAATGACCATCGTTATGTTTGGAGGAAAAAGGGGGATGCTTGCAAGCCGAAGAACACCATCCCAACCGTGAAGCACGGGGGTGCCAGCATCATGCTGAAGGGGTGCTTTGCTGGAGGAGGGACTGGTGCACTTCACAAAATAGATGGCATCATGAGGAAGGAAAAATATGTGGATATATTGAAGCAAAATCTCAAGACATCAGTCAGGAAGTTAAAGCTTGGTCGCAAATGGGTCTTCCAAATGGACAATGACCCCAAGCATACTTCCAAAGTTGTGGCAAAATGGCTTAAGGACAACAAAGTCAAGGTATTGGAGTGGCCATCACAAAGCCCTGACCTCAATCCTATAGAAGATTTGTGGGCAGAACTGAAAAAGGGTGTGCGAGCAAGGAGGCCTACAAACCTGACTCAGTTACTCCAGCTCAGGAATGGGCCAAAATTCACCCAACTTGTTTTGGGAAGCTTGTGGAAGGCTACCCGAAACATTTGACCCAAGTTAAACAATTTAAAGGCAATGCTACCAAATACTAATTGAGTGTATGTAAACTTCTGACCCACTGGGAATGTGATGAAAGAAATAAAAGCTGAAATAAATCATTCTCTCTACTATTATTCTGACATTTCACATTATTAAAATAAAGTGGTGATCCTAACTGACCTAAGACAGGGAATTTCTACTAGGATTAAATGTCAGGAATTGTGAAAAACTGAGTTTAAATGTATTTGGCTAAGGTGTATGTAAACTTCCGACTTCAACTGTATGTGTTATGGCTTACACCCCCTGCTATATTGTGGATAAAGAGTTACCTGTCTAACAGAACACAGTGGGTGTTATTTAATGGAAGGCTCTCCAACATAATCCAGTTAGAATCAGGAATTCCCCAGGGAAGCTGTCTAGGCACCTTACTTTTTTCAATCTTTGAGTAAAGCCAGTGTGTCTATGTATGCGGATGACTCAACACTCTACACATCAGCTTCTTCAGCGACTGAAATGACTGCAACACTTAAGAGCTGCAGTTAGTTTCAGAGTGGGTGGCAAGGAATAAGTTAGTCCTAAATATTTTTTAAACTAAATCAAATCAATGTTTATTTGCCACATGCGCCAAATACAACAGGTGTAGACCTTACAGTGAAATGCTTACTTACAAGCCCTTAACCAACAATGCTGTTTAAAAAAAAAAGAAGAGAAAATAATTAAAGAGCTGCAGTAAAATAAAATAACAGTAGGGAGGCTATATACAGGGGGAACCGGTACAGAGTCAATGTGCGGGGGAACTGGTTAGTCGAGGTAATATGTACATGTGGGTAGAGTTAAAGTGACTATGCATAGATAATAAACAGAGTAGCAGCAGCGTAAAAGAGGGGGTGGGGGTGGGGTTGGGGGGCAATGCAAATAGTCCGGGTAGCCATGATTAGCTGTTCAGGAGTCTTATGGCTTGGGGGTAGAAGCTGTTAAGAAGCCTTTTGGACCTAGACTTGGCGCTCCGGTACCGCTTGCCATGCGGTAGCAGAGAGAACAGTCTGACTAGGGTAGCTGGAGTCTTTGACAATTTTTAGGGCCTTCCTCTGACACTGCCTGGTATAGAGGTCCTGGATGGCAGGAAGCTTGGCCCCAGTGATGTACTGGGCCTCACGCACTACCCTCTGTAGTGCCTTGCGGTCGGAGGCCGAGCAGTTGCCATACCAGGCGGTGATGCAACAGGTCAGGATGCTCTCGATGGTGCAGCTGTATAACGTTTTGAAAGCATTGTATTTGGGTTTAGTCACTAAACCCTAAACCTCAACTAAATCTTGTAATAAATCATGTGGAAATTGAGCAAGTTGAGGTGACTAAACTGCTTGGAGTAACCCTGGATTGTAAATGGTCATGGTCAAAACATATTGATACAGTAGCTAAGATGGGGAGAAGTCTGTCCATAATAAAGCGCTACTGTACCTTCTTAACAGCACTATCAACAAGGCAGGTCCTACATGTCCTAGTTTTGTCGCACCTGGACTACTGTTCAGTCATGTGGTCAGGTGCCACAAAAAGGGACTTAAGAAAATTGCAATTGGCTCAGAACAGGGCAGCACAGCTGGCCCTTGGATGTACACAGAGAGCGAACATTAATAATATGCATGTCAATCTCTCCTGGCTCAAATTGGAGGAGAGATTGACTTCATCACTAATTGTATTTATGAGAGGTATTGACATGTTGAATGCACCGAGCTTTCTGTTTGAACTACTGGCACACAGCTCGGACACCCATGCATACCCCACAAGACATGCCACCAGAGGTCTCTTCACAGTCCCCAAGTTCAGAACAGACTATGGGAGGCGCACAGTTCTACATAGAGCCATGACTACATGGAACTCTATTCCACATCAAGTAATTGATGCAAGCAGTAAAATTTGATTTTAAAAAACACAAACATAGGCACAGACGCATGCATACACACACACGATAACATACACACTATACACACACGTACACATAGATTTTGTATTGTAGATATGTGGTAGTGGTGGAGTAGGGGCCTGAGGGCACACAGTGTGTTGTGAATGTATTATAATGTTTTTAAAATGGTATAACTGCCTTAATTTTGCTGGAACCCATTAAGAGTAGGTGATGGGGATCCAAAATAAATACAAATATCAGTAAGTTAGACCTCGGAGTGCTCTCTCAAGATGATGTGGCTAGTCATTCACAGACAGAGGAGACTGAGGTATAGCCTGTTGGTCAAACCATGTTAGAGATGATGTTAAAGATGCCTTTTCTGACCAAACACTGATACTAAGACACTGGAGAGTACAACAGAAGATTCCCATTGACCACTATTTAAACCATTGTAGTTATTAAAGTGTTCCCATGCATTTCTGACAGTGTTCACTCAGCTTAAGTCATGATTAGTTTTTTTCCTCTCATGGTTCAACTGTAACAGTAAGTCAGACGTCTCTCCTCTCTGCTCTGGGTGCTGATAAAGACGGAGACAGCCAGTGGATTACATGAAACACAACTCCTGTAATCCTGTAAAGCATGCTGCCTCACATTAATCAGAGCATCTCCTGCCTTACCTCCACATGGGGGCTGTCTGTCTGTCCGTGTCTGTTTGTCTGTCTGTCCATATCTCTCTCTGTCTGTGTGTCTGTCTGTCCGTGTCTGTGTGTCTGTCTGTCCGTGTCTGGCTGGCTGGCTGCTCTTATTTATGGCCTGTTAATTCTCACTAGTCTCACTCTCACTTTTTATAACTTGTGTTCTCTCCGTTTATCTCCAGGTTCACTAAACCAGCTCCCATGTTCCTCGATCCAAACTTTAGACGATTCTCCAAGATCAGCAAATTTTTCCCACCTTTTGGAATGAAAACGCAAGGTAAGGACCTCAGTTTTATATCTATTTCTTTCATATACTACATGTCTTTGTTCATAGTTAGTCAGATCCTAGTTGAATGACCATGAAGAATGGGGAGCCCCTGGGAGAGTACACTGTTGACTGGAAAAAGCCAAGTAACTCACCTACAGGTAGGAGGATGTAGCTATGGGCTCTGGGTCAGTGCTCGGACGAGGGAGAGAACACCATGTCCAAATATTGGCCTTATCGAGAAGAACATCACTGCTGCTCCAAGTAATGCAGGGATCAGGCCTCTATGCAGGGATCAGGCCTCTATGCAGGGATCAGTCCTCTATGCAGATCTCAGGCCTCTATGCAGGGATCAGGCTTCTATGCAGGGATCAGGCTTCTATGCCGGGATCAGGCTTCTATGCAGGGATCAGGCTTCTATGCAGGGATCAGACTTCTGTGCAGGGATCAGACTTCTGTGCAGGGATCAGGCTGCTATGCAGGGATCAGGCTGCAATACAGGGATCAGGCTGCTATGTAGGGATCAGGCTATCACAGCAAAGCATCAACCTGCCCCCTCTTCCTGCCCCTCGCTTATCCGTTCTAAAACATTTAATTCAAGTGTTTAATCATCAATTTTTGTTGTTTTACATAAATATTTTGGGTTCAATATAAATGTAATGGAATCTGTTTTAATATAAATCTGGCTAAATGTAGTGATGATAATGATAGTGTCAGTGCTCTCAAGTTGTGTTAAATATCTCTGGAAAGGTATCAGGAGGATGGCTGTGTAGTCTAGCTCGCCATGTTGCGTGTTTTTTTTTTTTTGGGTGGGGGGTAGATCAGCTTAATATTGCAGATAGATTGTAACTTCCATCAATGTAATTGTCTGCATCACTTCCAATCCCCTATGTTTAAAAAAAATATATATATATATATATATATATATATATATATATATATATATATATATATATATATATATATATATATATTTACATTTACGTTTGAGTCATTTAGCAGACGTATACATATATACACACACACATATATATATATATACATACATACATTCTTCTATATGCCATATCTTTCTAACTGTGCTCCTTCACAAAAGCTCCCAACCTACAACCCATACACTTATTATGGACACAGTGTGCCTACATTATTACCGTAGTTATCTTGTTATTGTTTGTTGTTAGTTGTTATTAGTCCCATCCTTCAATTCCATTCAACACCTCCAATCTATCTTTGAACACCATCCATATAGGATTTATATTTGCCATATATATTTCAACTGTACTGTGATGTCTTACAAAAGTTCTGAACCTTTCTATTCTCATTGTTTCTACAGATTGTGAATTGAATTTTTTTTTTTTGCTAATAGTATTATTATGTTAATAATCGATTGACTATGACTTTTCAGATCACCCAGTAGTGCTAGAGGAAGGGTGTTAGCTGGCTAGTGTTCTCATAGAAATCTGTCTGACTCTGAGACCTGTGTCCATCAATGCCCTGCCTTTTGTCAGTAACATTGAGAAGCACCAACACAGCACCACTGTCTGACCATCACATCCTTCTGCCTACCAGTCACAGGCCCTGATTACCACACCCAGGCCCTGATTACCACACCCAGTCCCAGCCCCAAGCTTTTGATCCTCACACCACAAGTATCCCATCCAAACACATGTTAATGATGGCATGATTAGCTACAGCATGTAGCCTTGTCTTCAACACAGCATCAGCTAATCAGTTTTATTTAATTTAACCTTTATTTAAACAGGTTACTCATTGAGATGTGTTAATCAGTAATAATCAGTGAGGTATTTGTACCCTGACTGCCTGCCCTCATCCGCATGGCTGATCTGAACCAGGATGCCCAACCAACACAGACTCTCTTTTCCAATCCAACCAACACGTTCTGGGCGTTTTCTGTTCTGAGCCTCGGTAGTAGGGCAGTTTGTGGGATCACACTGAACATGTGGTCTCTCCTTCTGCCTGAACATACAGTGGGGAAAAAAAGTATTTAGTCAGCCACCAATTGTGCAAGTTCTCCCACTTAAAAAGATGAGAGAGGCCTGTAATTTTCATCATAGGTACACGTCAACTATGACAGACAAATTGAGGAAAAAAAATCCAGAAACTCACATTGTAGGATTTTTTATGAATCTATTTGCAAATTATGGTGGAAAATAAGTATTTGGTCACCTACAAACAAGCAAGATTTCTGGCTCTCACAGACCTGTAACTTCTTCTTTAAGAGGCTCCTCTGTCCTCCACTCGTTACCTGTATTAATGGCAACTGTTTGAACTTGTTATCAGTATAAAAGACACCTGTCCACAACCTCAAACAGTCACACTCCAAACTCCACTATGGCCAAGACCAAAGAGCTGTCAAAGGACACCAGAAACAAAATTGTAGACCTGCACCAGGCTGGGAAGACTGAATCTGCAATAGGTAAGCAGCTTGGTTTGAAGAAATCAACTGTGGGAGCAATTATTAGGAAATGGAAGACATACAATACCACTTATAATCTCCCTCGATCTGGGGCTCCACGCAAGATCTCACCCCGTGGGGTCAAAATGATCACAAGAACGGTGAGCAAAAATCCCAGAACCACACGGGGGGACCTAGTGAATGACCTGCAGAGAGCTGGGACCAAAGTAACAAAGCCTACCATCAGTAACACACTACGCCGCCAGGGACTCAAATCCTGCAGTGCAAGACGTGTCCCCCTGCTTAAGCCAGTACATGTCCAGGCCCGTCTGAAGTTTGCTAGAGTGCATTTGGATGATCCAGAAGAGGATTGGGAGAATGTCATATGGTCAGATGAAACCAAAATATAACTTTTTGGTAAAAACTCAACTCGTCGTGTTTGGAGGACAAAGAATGCTGAGTTGCATCCAAAGAACACCATACCTACTGTGAAGCATGGGGGTGGAAACATCATGCTTTGGGGCTGTTTTTCTGCAAAGGGACCAGGACGACTGATCAGTGTAAAGGAAAGAATGAATATGGCCATGTATCGTGAGATTTTGAGTGAAAACCTCCTTCCATCAGCAATGGCATTAAAGATGAAACGTGACTGGGTCTTTCAGCATGACAATGATCCCAAACGCACCGCCCGGGCAACGAAGGAGTGGCTTCGTAAGAAGCATTTCAAGGTCCTGGAGTGGCCTAGCCAGTCTCCAGATCTCAACCCCATAGAAAATCTTTGGAGGGAGTTGAAAGTCCGTGTTGCCCAGCGACAGCCCCAAAACATAACTGCCCTAGAGGAGATCTGCATGGAGGAATGGGCCAAAATACCAGCAACAGTGTGTGAAAACCTTGTGAAGACTTACAGAAAACGTTTGACCTGTGTCATTGCCAACAAAGGGTATATAACAAAGTATTGAGAAACTTTTGTTATTGACCAAATAATTATTTTCCACCATAATCTGCAAATAAATTCATAAAAAATCCTACAATGTGATTTTCTGGATTTTTTTTTCTCATTTTGTCTGTCATAGTTGACCTAGTGAATGCAGGTCATTCACTAGGTCCCCCCCGTGTGGTTCTGGGATTTTTGCTCACCGTTCTTGTGATCATTTTGACCCCACGGGGTGAGATCTTGCGTGGAGCCCCAGATCGAGGGAGATTATCAGTGGTCTTGTATGTCTTCCATTTCCTAATAATTGCTCCCACAGTTGATTTCTTCAAACCAGGCTGCTTACCTATTGCAGATTCAGTCTTCCCAGCCTGGTGCAGGTCTACAATTTTGTTTCTGGTGTCCTTTGACAGCTCTTTGGTCTTGGCCATAGTGGAGTTTGGAGTGTGACTGTTTGAGGTTGTGGGCAGGTGTCTTTTATACTGATAACAAGTTCAAACAGTTGCCATTAATACAGGTAACGAGTGGAGGACAGAGGAGCCTCTTAAAGAAGAAGTTACAGGTCTGTGAGAGCCAGAAATCTTGCTTGTTTGTAGGTGACCAAATACTTATTTTCCACCATAATTTGCAAATAAATTGATAAAAAATCCTACAATGTGATTTTCTGGATTTTTTTTCCTCAATTTGTCTGTCATAGTTGACGTGTACCTATGATGAAAATTACAGGCCTCTCTCATCTTTTTAAGTGGGAGAACTTGCACAATTGGTGGCTGACTAAATACTTTTTTTCCCCACTGTAGTGCACAACTTTTGACCAAAAGCAGTGCACTATATCGGGAAAAGGGTGTGATTTGAGATGCAGCCCTCTCCCTCCCTATCTCTCCAGTGTTAGTCACACTACAGATACAGAGTAATTTTGGACGGAGCTGTAACTGTCTCCACGTCAATGCTGTTGACTGCCTCTGAGCGACCCTTAATTATTCTATAGTAGATTGTGTCATGGGATGTTGTGTGACACGGAACTGTGTCATTTGTTTAAATCACATGTCAAGGGCCTCCCGAGTGGCGCAGCGGTCTAAGGCACTGCATCGCAGTGGCGTTACTACACTCCTGGGTTCATTCCCGGAATGTGCCACAACCGGCCGTGGCCGGGAGTCCCATAGGACGGCGCACAATTGGCCCAGCGTCGTCCAGGTTTGGCCAGGGGGGCTTCACTTTGCTCATTGCGTTCTAGCGACTCCTTGTGGCGGGTTGGGTGCCTGCAGGCTGACCCCGGTCGCCAGTTGAACAGTGTTTCCTCCGGCACATTGGTACTTCCGGGTTAAGCTGGCGGGTGTTACGGAGCACGGTTAGGCGGGTCATGTTTCGGAGGACGCATGACTCCACCTTCGCCTCTCCCGAGCCCGTTGGGGAGTTGCAGCAATGAGACAAGATCAAAATTGGGGAGAAAAGGGGATGTAAAAATACAAAATAAAATAAATAAATCACGTGTCAAATAGGGACTCAGTCTTTATGGACTGATTCCATACAAATACATTTAAAAAATGACTCATGACAAATGAAAAGGTTCAAGTCTGATTACATAACTCTGTAATTACATAAATTCCATTATTTCTGACTAAAATGTCATCCTCGGGTCATGTGGGTGTACGATTCCATGTAATGATCTCCATTGCGTCTGAGAAACAGTGTCTAATGGCAATTTAATGCTCTGGCAATTTAGTTTAATGTCAATAATCATGAATAGCACGCAACTGCTAGGCTATACAGTCAAATCGTGTGGACTTTCACCTCGTGACAAATGGCCCAGCGTTTCAGAGTTTACAACTGTTTTCCCAATTAGTTTCATCCTGATCCCCTGAATTATAGGGCAAGTGTATTTATCCTCGTCAATTGCATAGAAAACATCCAGATTGAAGTTATTCTTTCCTCTACACTTTTTTTTCTTCCTAGAATAACTGGCTAGATATATATAAATAGCCAGTTATATAGTGTTGTGTGGAAAGACCCAGAGCATCTAAGACTCCAGAAGTGTCATGAAGGCCTGTATTCTGAGGTCGATGGTGATGTAACCTCATTCTCTGAGTTCCAAGGATTGTTGCCCACGTCAGCCTGGAGAATGTGCTTGTTTAAAAATGCCATTCCTCTAACCGGTATTTCTTCATGCCCTATCGTTTTTCCTCTCAGTGTCTTAAGCTGTATACAGTATAACTGTGTCCCAAATTGCACCCATAGGGCTCTGGTCAAAAGTAGTGCACTGTATAGGGAATAGGGTGCCATTTGGGACTCTGCTTCTCTGCTCCGACCCAGGAGGTGTACATGTTGTGTATGAGGCCCTGCTCTTACCTCCCTGCCTGGCCACCCAGATATCTCTGATGGTTGTATAACATGAAGAAGTGTTCTGTTCTGTTCTGTTCTCCTCTCCTCTGTCAGCCCACCCAGACTCTCCTCTGGCTCCATTCCCTGGATCATTTATCAAAGTGACAAAGTCCACCAGGTTTACTAGTCTACACTACCTTGGTCTCTCTGCTGAGGTGGTGATGCAGAGTGGAATATATGTGGATGAGAGCCTCTTTATTACAGGACTTTCATCTTCTACTCAGATGCTGTGTTTTTCTCCTCTTCTCTCCTCAGAAAAGATCATAGATAATATTCTGACAGCCACAAAGCGCTATGGTCTGGGAGATGAGCTGGACAGGTATGTCACACCTCTAGCACCATAACAGCTCTATTAGAAAAACAGGGATGACTGGGGGACTTTAAAAGGGGTCATGCCAGGACATTCAGAAAACTCTGGAGCTTTCTCAGAAAAGCTATTGCCTGGTCCCAGATCTGTTTGTGCTGTCTTGCCAACTCCTATGGTCATTGTCACGCCAAAACGACCATTGGATATGAGTTGGCTAGAAAGCACAAACAGATCCGGGACCAGGCTAGAAATATGTTTTACCAATCCAGGACACTTTGCTGAGTAATTTTATTTCCAACATAAAGATGAATGAATTCTAATCACACAGGCCATATGTTGGGCAGTTTTGGTAGTTTTATAATTTCACTTCTGGCCAGGATTCTGTCTTTTTTGGGCTTGGTTCTTTCCATAGCCACTAGAATCTGCCAACCTGATTTCATCAACTAAGGAAATCGAGAATGTGTTTATTTTTCCACATGGAATGTAGGACTCAGACTAAACATAGGTCATATTCTATAAAACGTAAGGCCCAATAGCGATAGCCCAACTACATATCATATCAGAATCAAATGAATCACTGTGCAGTACTTGGCATGTTCCTCACTTCACAAACCTCATAGAACTCGTTTTTTTCTGCTGTTTGTTTCCCTGCTCTTCTAGTCAGAGTTGTAAGAAGTGCATCATCATGGGAAATGGTGGTATTCTGGCCAACAAGTCTATGGGTGTGAGGATTGACGAGTACGATGTGGTTGCAAGGTCAGTTAAGGCACATTAACACTAGGATTCTTAAATAATCTTTCCTCGATTCCTTCCATCCTCTCTCACCTCCTTCTCAAGAGCTCTAGAGGAGAACATCTGAAGTTCCTTCCCTCCGATATGTTTTGAGAAGGAGGCGAAGAGAGAGGATGTGAGGAATTGAGGAAAGACAAATTGAGAAAGAGCCCAGGTTCTGTGATTGTGAGAACCCTGTGTTTATCGATTCCTAATCCCAGTCCACCTGTGTGTGTTGCAGGTTGAACGAGGCCCCAGTGTCTGGCTATGAAAAGGATGTGGGCTCCAAGACCACCATGCGTATCACCTACCCAGAGGGAGCCATCCAGAAGACTGAACACTACGAACAGGACTCCCTCTTCGTCCTCTCTGCCTTCAAAGCTCTCGACTTCAAATGGCTGCGGTCCATGATCTTTAAGGAGAGGCTGGTAAGGAAAGTTAACCCTTTTTCACACTACTGAGTTAAGCCAAACCAAGCCAAGCCAAGCTTGTAAGTATTTACCCAGCAAACAGGCAACGTTCATACAATGTTAAATAATGTTCTAATTTAGTCCTAATGTATAGAGAAAACATTATAGCCACCGCATGGGAACATCCCTGGAGAGCTCTGTCAAGTCAAATGTTTGGGGAACTTTTAGGAAACTTGCCATTTTAAGCTTCTCAGAGCACCCCTACTAATGTTCTGGGAATGCAGTGTTTGGTTAACCAGGCTAACCAGTAGAGGGCAGTGGGAAGTTACTGTAGACTTCAGAGAGAATCCCTGGGCTAACTTTACCAAGCCATATGCACCTGTTTGTCCTGTGTTAACTATGGTGTCTTGCTGTGCTCAGGAAATACCAGGATTAAGAAATGGCAAGAGAGAAAAACACAGAAACATGGCATCAGATCAGACCCTGGGGTGACCATAAGTGGAAGACATTTACCCATCTTTACCACACTGTTTAATTCAATTGGATAATAGTAGGCTTATATTCTCACTTTGGAACTCATAACTTGTTGTGACCGGATAATTAATGTGTCATCATACCAATTTTATCATTATACCATACTGAATTGAATGAGGAATATGTATGCTGAATGGAAACATTAGAGGTGCCAGCGTGCTGTGTGCTGTCAGTCTGTGAGACAGTCACCAATTGGTCACAGTGTGAGCCAGTGCTATAGACTAACATTTACATTTACATTTTAGTCATTTAGCAGACGCTCTTATCCAGAGCGATTTACAGGAGCAATTAGTAACAGAGTTGATGTCTTTTTGTTCAGGCTTAGCTTATAACTTAAGACCATTGAAGATTTCCTCTTAAACATAATTCTATGGACCACAGTAAGTACATTACTTTAGTTACACAGTCCTTTCTTTACTATACTGGCCTCAACAAAAAGACATCTCTGTCTCCTCTTTCTCTGTGATGGTGTAATTTGGGGTTAGTGGGGCAGTCCCTTTCTTTTGTGCTACAGGTAGTGTAGGGTTCCCCTCTCTCAGGTGAGGGACGGAGATTTAATGATGTGTTGAATTGGCAAGTATCTGAGAGTGAATGACTCTTCTTATCTCTTTAAGTATAGCCTCTCTCTCTTTCGCTCTCTCTCTCTTTCTCTCTCTCTCTTATCTGAGAATAGTAGCGAAAGTGCTTTGTTGCATATCTGGGCCCAGTATCTTATTGTACATAGCAGAGGTAGCTGCCGTTACAGCAGCACGTTTACCTCAAGGACAGTGGTGCATTCTCTGAGGTTGTGTATGCACTGTAACTCTATTCCCCCAGCTCTGCTAAACGTGAGAAATTAGAAACATTATTATTTTTATTTTTTTGTCTTATTATTATCAATCCTGATGCCTAGCCACTTTACCCTGCTTTCATGTACACACAGTATCTATCTCAAATACGGTAAAGTCTACACCAGTTGTATTTGACACGTGACAAATCAAAGTTTATATATACAGTGGGGAAAAAAGTATTGGTCAGCCACCAATTGTGCAAGTTCTCCCACTTAAAAAGATGAGAGGCCTGTAATTTTCATCATAGGTACACGCCAACTATGACAGACAAAATGAGAAAAAAAAATCCTGAAAATCACATTGTAGGATTTTTTATGAATTTATTTGCAAATTATGGTGGAAAATAAGTATTTGGTCAATAACAAAAGTTTCTCAATACTTTGTTATATACCCTTTGTTGGCAATGACACAGGTCAAACGTTTTCTGTAAGTCTTCACAAGGTTTTCACACACTGTTGCTGGTATTTTGGCCCATTCCTCCATGCAGATCTCCTCTAGAGCAGTGATGTTTTGAGGCTGTCGCTGGGCAACACGGACTTTCAACTCCCTCCAAAGATTTTCTATGGGGTTGAGATCTGGAGACTGGCTAGGCCACTCCAGGACCTTGAAATGCTTCTTACGAAGCCACTCCTTCGTTGCCCGGGCGGTGTGTTTGGGATCATTGTCATGCTGAAAGACCCAGCCACATTTGTCTTCAATGCCCTTGCTGATGGAAGGAGGTTTTCACTAAAAATCTCACGATACATGGCCCCATTCATTCTTTCCTTTACACGGATCAGTCGTCCTGGTCCCTTTGCAGAAAACAGCCCCAAAGCATGATGTTTCCACCCCCATGCTTCACAGTAGGTATGGTGTTCTTTGGATGCAACTCAGCATTCTTTGTCCTCCAAACACGACGAGTTGATTTTTTACCAAAAAGTTCTATTTTGGTTTCATCTGACCATATGACATTCTCCCAATCCTCTTCTGGATCATCCAAATGCACTCTAGCAAACTTCAGACGGGCCTGGACATGTACTGGCTTAAGCAGGGGGACACGTCTGGCACTGCAGGATTTGAGTCCCTGGCGGCGTAGTGTGTTACTGATGGTAGGTTTTGTTACTTTGGTCCCAGCTCTCTGCAGGTCATTCACTAGGTCCCCCCGTGTGGTTCTGGGATTTTTGCTCACCGTTCTTGTGATCATTTTGACCCCACGGGGTGAGATCTTGCGTGGAGCCCCAGATCGAGGGAGATTATCAGTGGTCTTGTATGTCTTCCATTTCCTAATAATTGCTCCCACAGTTGATTTCTTCAAACCAAGCTGCTTACCTATTGCAGATTCAGTCTTCCCAGCCTGGTGCAGGTCTACAATTTTGTTTCTGGTGTCCTTTGACAGCTCTTTGGTCTTGGCCATAGTGGAGTTTGGAGTGTGACTGTTTGAGTTTGTGGACAGGTGTCTTTTATACTGATAACAAGTTCAAACAGGTGCCATTAATACAGGTAACGAGTGGAGGACAGAGGAGCCTCTTAATGAAGAAGTTACAGGTCTGTGAGAGCCAGAAATCTTGCTTGTTTGTAGGTGACCAAATACTTATTTTCCACCATAATTTGCAAATTAATTCATTAAAAATCCTACAATGTGATTTTCAGGATTTTTTTTCCTCAATTTGTCTGTCATAGTTGACGTGTACCTATGATGAAAATTACAGGCCTCTCTCATCTTTTTAAGTGGGAGAACTTGCACAATTGGTGGCTGACTAAATACTTTTTTTCCCCACTGTATATATTTTTGTTGTTGACATAAGTGACCAGTTTAAATTTAGCTCTAGAGAATTTGCTTTTTGTTTTCACACAGATAGTATTGGATAGTGCTGCTCAATATACTCAGGTTATGACAGCTTTGAGGGGATGTTTATCAAAATTAGGAGATGCTTTCTTAGGAAACATGGCCACCAACAGGAGCTCAATCCCCTAGCAATCTAATATACCTGAATACACTTGAGCTGTGCTCGCTAAGAAAACAGAGCTTTTACCTCTGCTCTCCTCAAGTCTACATACATTACGGTTCCCACTTGCTGTTAAGAGAGAGAAAGGGAGGGGAGAGGGGTAGAGAGAAGAAGGAGAGAGAGACCGAGAGAGAAGAGAGACCGAGAGAGAGAGGGATGGGGAGAAAAAGAGAGAGATACTTGTGTGGGAAGTATCTCCACAGGATAGTCTGCCCTACTGTCATTCATTCATGTTTCTCCAAGCCTACCACACATGAGCAGCGTGCCCCAAGCAAGCTTCATCCTATAGACTGTTAGAGCAAGCTATGCTCTCAGAATGCCTGACGGGAGGACAGACTGATGGAAGAGTAGAATGACTAGGAGGACAATGGGAGGACAGATGACCTATGAGTTGATATTGTTCTTGTGGAATTTCTCTCTCTCTTTACATTTAAGGGATAACCCTAAACCTTGCTTGTAAATGAATATGAATGTGATAATAACCATACATTTGAAATCTTTATTACCGACCAGTGAAGGTCAGAGCAAGGTCGTGCTCTGACATGGTTTTAAGGTTGCTTTGTAGAGGGCTGTGACTGATATGGTTTTCGTCTCTGAGAAGAAAGATGTCTAGCTCTGGTTACAGTCACTGTGGTCATTCCTTCATGGTTGAATGGGGGGGCGGGGCTGGGGGCTGGCAGACTATGGGATTCAGGGGTCCGATGCACATCAGAGAGCAACAGTAGCTCTTTGAGAGGAGACCTAGGCTCACCTGGCCTGCCCAGTGCCCATAGACAGACAGACAGACAGACAGACAGTGGATAGATAGATAAGCCTATCACTGGGGTGGTCCTGTGCTCTGAGTCAGTGTCTGGATCACTTTTCACCCAGTGACAGCCAGGTGGGTGGGAGGGGGCAGACAGACAGAGACACTCTGGAGTCAGCCAGCCATGACAGTCATACTGCTATTCCTCTACTATTCCTTTATTGACATGTTAAATGGCCTCACGTCTCAAGAAAACACTTTGCGTAACATTTCACTTCACCCTATGTATGCGCACATGAAGCCTTTCTTTTTTATTCTTTTTTATTTTACCTTTATTTAACTAGATAAGTCACTTAAGAACAAATTCTTATTTACAATGACGGCCTACCAAGAGGCAAAAGGCCTCCTGCGGGGACGGGGGCTGGGATTAAAAATATAAATGTAAGATAAAACACACGTCACAACAAGAGAGACACCACAACACTACATAAAGAGAGACCTAAGACAACAACACAGCATGGCAGCAACACAAGACAACACAGAATGGTAGCAACACAACATTACAACAACACAGTAGCGACACAACATGGCAGCAGCACAACATGGTAGCAGCACAAACATGGTAGCAGCACAAACATGGTAGCAGCACAAACATGGTACAAATATTGTTAGGCACAGACAACAGCACAAAGGGCAAAACGGTAGAGACAACAATACATCACGTGAAGCAGCCACAACTGTCAGTAAGAGTGTCCATGATTGAGTCTTTGAATGAGGAGATGGAGATAAGACTGTCCAGTTTGAGTGTTTTTTGCAGCGCGTTCCAGTCTAGCCATACTCCCAAGTACTTGTATGAGGTGACATAAGATAATAACTGTAGATTTGCCTGTCATGTATGGAGCTGTAATAAAGTATTTCAATTAATCTTATCAGGACAAAGTAACATAGCCCTGG